ATAATAAATGCAATAATTCAAATACTAGCAAAAAAATAAAGCTGGAATAATTACTTTAAAATATTTTTGAATTACTTGTCAATTACAATAAAAATGGATTTATAGTTTTATCTGCATAAAAGTAAGCATATAACTGTATACTGACTGAATAAATGAATAACTACATGTTATATATTTGTGGATAATGAAAACTAAAATTAAATAACACAGATAAGTAAACTTCCACAAGCTACTTATTTTTAATCACTTAAATGCAATACCAAAAAAGTTTTAAAAACTTGCTCTGTAAAATGCCAAGTATTATACAAAGAAAGATGCCAGAAAGAATAATTTAAAGTATTGTGTCAATCTTTAATAGGTAAACTGAGACCCCTACAAAAGACTGTCTTGACAGTAATTGATTCTTTTTTTTTTTTTTTTTTTTTTTTTGAGATGGAGTTTCACTCTTTCGCCCAGGCTGGAGTGCAGTGGCACAATCTCAGCTCACTGCAATCTCCGCCTTCTGGTTTCAAGTGATTCTCCTGCCTCAGCCTCCCAAGTAGCTGGGATTACAGGCATCTGCCACCAAGCCCAGCTAATTTTTGTATTTTTAGTAGGGATGGGGTTTCACCACGTTGGCCAGGCTTATCTCAAACTCCTGACCTTGTGATCCACCCACCTTGGCCTCCCAAAGTGCTGGGATTACAGGTGTGAGCCACCATGCCCGGTGATTTTTCTTCTTCTTAAACAGAAGCTATCAGGACTGAAAGGGATGAGCAACTCTCTTCTCCAGAATCCTGAGAAGGTATGGAATAGTGAGTAGGGTGTTTATGGTTTGTGGCTGATAAGGGAAAATACCACCAAGAGAGGAGAGAATGCTGGTATTGTTTAACAGAATGACCCTGCTGCAGGGCCTTGGTGATTTTTTAATTATACATTTGGTATTTGCAGCAATAGCAAATTTGATTTTTAAATATAATCTGCTACTTGGTTAATACAGAACTCTGGCTGGGGCCATGGACCCTTCACTCCCTCTGCCCAGCCCTCCCTGCTTTAGGCATTCTGGCTACTTCTGTCCCCCACTGCACTGTGGCCAGTTCTCATCTCCCACCTTTATGCAGAGCACACACCTAAGGACACAAGGCACAGAGAAGAGTGATCTCGTCCAAGCTCCCATTTCTAGCGCTGGTCAAGCTGGGATCAGAACCCAGGCAAGTGCCATGAGATCTACGTCTGACCACTACAGCGATCACTGGCCAGTGCTGTTCTTAATGTTCCCATTTTACAGAAGAAACGGAGGACTGGAGATGAGCAGAGGGATGCCCACCCAGGCATCTGTGTAGACAGCCCCTACTCACAATCTTAATCCTGGCCCAAGAGCAGAACAAGTGAGGAAACCATGAGCAAAAAAGAGGAAAACAAACTCTCCTTCAGGATGGGTTGCTAAAGACTTGGTATGTTAGTCTGTGTTGCTCTAAAGAAACACCTGAGACTGGGTAATTTACAAAGCAAAAGTGTTTAATTGGCTCATGGTTCCACAGACTACAGGAGGCATGGCACCAGTATCTGCTCGGCTTCTGGTGAGGCCTCAGGAAGCTTTTACTCATGGTGAAAGGCAAAGGCGGATCAGGCAGGTCACATGGTGAGAGAGGGAGCAGGGTCGGTGGGGCTGCCACACACTTTTAAACAACCAGATGTCAGGTAAACTACCAGAGAGAGAACTCACTCATCCCCATGGGGATGGCACCAAGCCATTCATGAGGGATCCATCTCCAAGACCCAAACACCTTCTACCAGGCCCCACTTCCAACTGGGATCACATTTCAACATGAGATTTGGAGGGGACAAACATCCAAACCATATCACTGAGTATAGGAAGGTGGTTCTAACCCAAATGCAAGAGCAGCGAGCAAGAATTCCAGCAGCTGCCTAGGGTCTGGGACAAAGGGAGAGTTCACCCTCTGTACATGGCACGATGGTGAGAGGACAGTGTGGGCCCCAGATGAAGCAGGAAGAAAATCCTGCGCAGAACAGACAATTCCTCTGTCCTCCCGGATGAGGGTTCCCTGGGTCCCAGTGAGAAGGAGTGAGGACTACTGATGTGTTTTAACACACAACTTTAGGCCTGAGCTAACTTCATGGAAAACTGCATATAATTATTATTCTACAGTATAGATGGACTCATTTTCAGGTAACTTTCCTACTGAAGAATCTCTTAGCAGATCTGTTGCCTTTGAGTAGTCAAAATTCAGAGCCAGCTGCTGAGGGAGGTAGTTTGCTATGGAGGGGTGGTTCTCAAAGTGGGGTTTGCCAGAGTGGCAGCACTTAAGATGCAAATGTTCAGGCCCCATCCAGACCTACTGAATTGGCACTCAGGTGGGGCCCAGAAAAATGTGTTTTAACAAGCCCTTTGGGTGAACTGATGCCTGCTCAAGTCCGAGAAATCTTTGAGAGCATAAGGTGCCTTAATGTGTACAATCAATCATTCTGGTCTGAAGTTTCCACATAATAAAAGCTGCATTCACAGTACTGTGGGAAGAGCCATGGGGTCTGAGGAGAGCATTCGGTCACCTCCAGGCTCTAAAACTTCTGGGAAAACCTCTTCAAAATTAGAAATAATAAACACACATGACCAAATTATGAATACATAATCAGGTGACTGACAAATACTAACATAATGATCATAATTTTTAGAAAATTTTCAAATGAACTGGAGGATGGCTAAAATTATCCCACCGTTAGAACGAAGAAGCAAATACTGAATTTTTTAAACTAGTTGATACAAAATAATATTTTAAAATATACAAATGTAAGCATTCTCGTTTTCTTACAAACTAGTCATGTCCCTGAAAATGAACCTTTTCTTCTTGTTCAGGACACTGGTGTTAGTAACAGTTGCATATAAATAAGGCTTCCCAAACAAACATCTTATCTTTATATGGAAGGAAGTTCATGAAGAAGGAATTGACGTTCTTCCCTAACAACAACGACAATACATTTTTGGGTTCCTTTCCCAGAAATTAGTAAATAACAAAATACCTTTCAGTTTAAAAAAGCATGTTCAGAGCAAATGCTTAAATCTAATCCATATGCCACTCATATGCTTAAAAAGGAAGATGGTTTCCATGAGCCAATTTCTCCACGCATTCTGTGCCAAATAAAACAGATTTCAGCAAAAAGCTTTTACTGCCTCAGAGGAAACTCTGTTCATTCTACAGGGTATAAAGTACTATTTATTTTTCATTCAGAATTCCCAATTCTCTACTTACTGCACATTTTCCCACTCAAGCAGGCTTTATCCACTGTGGGTAAGCACATTAAATGCAGAAAAATACAACATCTTTTCTGGGTGGAAGAAATTTTTAAAATGCTGGTACAGTTCAGCATCTACATTTTATCACATTAAGAAAATATAGTTCTTATTAAAAGAAAAAAGCTGACATAATATTGATCCTGGAAGTCATACTTTTTATTACTGCTAAAGAAATACCTATCCTAAGCCAAAGCAAAAAGACATTCCCAGGGGCATGTAGCTGGGAAAGGCCAATGCTATCAATACGGTCTGCATGTTATAAAAAAGTTCAGAATCTACATCCAAGCAAATTAATGAGACACACCATAGATAATCAGAAGAAACAGCTTTGTGTTTTCCATTTGTATCATCTTATCATGGATGCGTACAACAAAAAGGTACCATTTGTGCCTAAATTTCTTTTAGGAAAACACAGCTAATATATCATGAAGAACTCAAAATAAGTCAGTCACATTAGAATATATATATATATTCTATATTTTATATAGAATATATATATTTATTTTATATATAAAAATATATATATATATATTTTTTGAGACGGAGTTTTGCTCTTGTCGCACAGGCTAGAGTGCAGTGGCGTGATCTCGGCTCGCCGCAACCTCTGCCTCCCGGGTTAAAGCGATTCTCCTGCCTCAGCCTTCTGAGTAGTTGGGACTACAGGTGTGCACCACCATGCCCGGCTAATTTTGTATTTTTAGTAGAGACGGATTTACCATGTTGGCCATGGCTGGTCTTGAACTCCTGACCTCAGGTGATCCTCCTGCCTCAGCCTCCCAAAGTGCTGGGATTGCAGGCGTGAGCTACTGCGCCCAGCCTAGAAAATATTTAAGAGACACAAAAATAAAAATATTTTCTTCGAAAATATGTTGCACTACAGGCTTTTCATATAGGTTTTTAGGGATATGAAGGACTAAGGATGGGAGCAAGATGGTCTCTGAGACCCAGGGATAAAAAACACCCATGAAGGAACAGAGATGGATGACCAGAGGACCGACTTGCAAAAATAGATGGACAGACGGACATACCTGGACAGATTGACAAGCAGGCTGATAAGGAAATTACATGACATGTCAGGACCCTGCTATTTCGTTTCTGCTGCTATAACTTTTAATCAAGATCCAGGGGCCAAGCCTCACATTCAGGAGGCACAGACTTAGTTTTTAGGATATTTTGAGAGCAAATGAGCAAAAAGGGGCCTTGAACCTAAAGACTAGCAGGGTGTGACACTCTCTATGCAACTGGGCTAGGCCACATGACACAAGCGGCAAGAATTAGGAAATAAAGTCCTGCCACAGAATGAATGGACTCTGAATGTGCTTTCTGTAAATGTTGGCATTTGTGGCATGCTGCCTCCACAGGAAGCTGGGATGCAGTCAGTCAGAAACATCTCAGCCTAGGGAAGAAGACTGCATCCTTATCTTTACACCTGCACAGTGGATCTGACATCTCAGGGTGTGTGGGGAGCAGGACTGGGCTGCTGGGTGCATCCTGACTGCCTTGGGGAACTCAGCTTCTCAGAGTTAAAAACATGAGCCCTTCCTGGCATCTTGCCTTTACTGCCAAATAAAGCTTAAATATTTGCCCTCAACACTCCAGTCACTACAGCCACAAACATGAAGGATTACTGTGTTCCCAGGGAGCTTTGGAAGAATCAACTGTGTCACTGAAAAGATGCTTTGATTGCTAGAACGGCCCACTGCCCTACCTTTTCCGATGCCTTGTCTTGCACAGGTGGACCTGAACCTGGAGGAGGAGGGGCTCGGCGCTTCTTCATCTCCGACTTCACGGACACCCCTGAGATGCTGCCCAGCGAGAGGGATGGACCCAGCGTAAGGGAACGTGAGTGCATGGATGGGGAGTTGGGTGTCGTTAAACAGCCCTGTTGGGGAAGAGACAAACAGAAAACCAAATCAGTGTGAGATGACTTCTCCCTGTATGAATGCTCACATGTGAAGACAAAGTTCCAATCCGTCCACCTGAGCTTGAGCGGCAGCTGTTTCTGCGGTCAGCTTGAAAGGCTTTAGCAAGCCCCGCCTGTAGCTTTCCAGGGAAAGCTGGAGAAGATGCTGCAGAACAGACTCATGCTATGAGGCTCACTTTCTTAATCATGAAGGCGATGGCAGACTCTTTAGGCCACTAAGAGAACACTTAGCAGCTAGAATCATTTACACTTCTTGACCAACCTGCAGGTGTGAATTGGCCTCCTTAAAACTTTAACCTGTTGTCAGAATGAGCTCTTAGACACTGAAAAAAGGAAGGAACTGATCAAGAAATACATCTCCGTGGGGAAGAAACCAACAATCTTGGTCATCTTGGAAAGTACTCCACTTGTTGCCAGGAGGGGGCTTATGTTTCTTCTAATTTTCAGAAGTTAGGAAAACTGACAATGTGGTATAAGCAATATGCTATGAAGACTGTCTAGAACCATCAGTACAGTACTTAGTGACGGATACCTAATAAGCTGAAAGAAATACAAACCAAGACACTAATTAATTGCTCTCAAGGGGCAATTTCCGTACCGGGGGAGCAGGCTGCAGGACACACAAACTTTTTGAATCTTTTCTCTCCCTAAGGTCTGTTAATAGAATCATGTAAGTGCTAGTGCAGAAAGAGCATCTGGGGAACCAGCAGAGCCAGCACTCTAACTTCAAACTGAAAACAAGATGGTACCATGCTGTGTCCTGGTGCTTCTTCTCTCCTAGCCACGACAGCTCTTTCACAGCACCTGTTACCATGGACACAGTCAATACTGAGAGCCAATGCAGTAAAGGGTTAAGCCCACAGACCTTGGAGACACTGCCTGGGTTTGATTCCTTCTTTTGACCTTAGATGAGGTTTTTTGGTGTATGTAAGATACATGAGTAAGATACAAATCTTGGGCAAATTTTTAATTTCTCTTTACCCCAGTTTATCTCCTGTAAAACTGGGGTAAATAATAGTTCCTGCATTACAAAGCTATCATGTGAATCAAATGAGTAACTGGATGTAAAAGAGCTTGAAAGAGTTCTTGGCACATTGGCTGGGTGTGGTGATGCACACCTATAGTCCCAGCTACTTGGGAGGTTAAGGTGGGAGGATCTCTTGAGCCTGAGTTTGAGGCTGTAGTGAGCCATGCTGGTGTCACTGGAAGACAGAGTGAGTCTTGGACTTAGGAAGGGGAACATCACTCACCGGGGCCTATCATGGGGAAGGGGGAGGGGGGAGGGGGGAGGGATTGCATTGGGAGTTATACCTGATGTAAATGACGAGTTGATGGGTGCAGCACACCAACATGGCACAAGTATACATATGTAACAAACCTGCACGTTATGCACATGTACTCTACAACTTAAAGTATAATAATAATAAATAAATTAAAAAAAAAAAAGAGTTCTTGGTACAAAGTCAGTGCCCAATAAGTATTAGCTATTATGATTATTATACTTGCTTGTTTGTATCTTTCTCTCCCATTAAGATGTGAACTCAATGAACACACTAATTATCACTCATTTTTACTGAGAACTGTATGTAATTCCAGCTCCAAACAGTTCCTAGTAGGTGGAGGGCCCTTCAGTCAACCTTCCTGAGAATGAATGAATGGACAGATGACCCTCTGGGTCACTATGATTTCATGTTTTACATAATAAGCTTGTGGGTAAGATTTCATTTGAACAACTAGTTCTCCATATTTAAAGTGAAGATATAAAGGAAATCCATCATATTAAACAATGGCCCAGTATTATTTGTACTCAGATGCAAACGCTGTTGCTCTGCCAGTTATACGATCATTTGTTTTCCTGAAAAAAATTTGAGTCACAGATTTTCTTGTGCTTAAATATTAAAGCCAAAGGACAAAACACTCCATGAAAGCTGCTTTTTATGCCGTTAGTGCTTCCCTGCAGACACTGAACATCAATGATGCTCCATGCTTTGGCCATCAGGTACAGAGTTCCCATAGGAAACAGGTGAGGGTGGTATAACAGAAAAGAAACTAACACCCAGAAAACTCATCAATGCCTATTTAGGCTCCCACAGAAAAATGTAAGTTGCTCCCTTGAGTCCTTGAGTTCTGCAGCCATCATAGTCATTACTAAGCAAATAAGCCATGCAAAATAAACTCCGCCTTACATCCCCCTCCATGGCAACAGTGAGAACTCAGGGAGACGCAACTCAGATTTACTTAACCCTGCAGGGTCTAGAAGACTACATGAAGCACAGGAAGCAAACCAGAGAAGGGATTTTGCTATTCACAGTTCTGGAGCTGGAAAGGTGTTTTGCTGGATGGCTGGTTTGTGCAAATGCCCCCAGATTCACGGGGATTGCAAACCCCATCTTTCCTCATCAGTAGTCACTTAGCATATGGCCAGAGCATGGACACTGGGACCTTCCACATTGTTGTGTTTCCTCATCCACGACGTCTCTGCTGACAGTGACTGCACACACACACACTCAGGCGCATGTGCACACACTCTCACATGCACACTCACAGACGTGCACTCACACGTGAACGCACGTTTTGGAGGATGCTTAAAGCTATGGTAGTCGATGAAGAACTACACACCTCCACCCATGTCACCTGCTATCTCTAAAGCATACATGCCCTATCCGGCATCCCAGAAACACAATGTCCATGGTAGTGCATTCCACAACTACATATCTAATTGCTTGTCTTCACTCCACCCTGTCTAGACATGGAACTCCCAGTACCTCTTGTCCTTGGTCCTCACCACAACTATGCCTGCCTGACTGATCACTCATCACTGCTGTGAATCCACCTCTGTCCTGTAAATGCCCTGAGCACTTAAGGAAGGTCTGTGCAGAATACTCCCTTAAAAGAACTTTACAGCCCCCTCTCATTTCATATTGATTTCAGGTTTTAATTTGTAACTGTTTTTGCTCTCATAAGCATCCTGGACATTTTGGATTATCTACTTTTTCAGGTAAAGAATGGGAATAGACCCTTTATAGTGGGTACATCCCCATCTTCAAAATGGGGAAAATTCCATTTCCTTCAAAGTTATTACAAGCATTAAATGAGGTAATTTAGATAAAGCACATTAGAAGCGTCCTATATATGTGGTTTCCTTCTTCTCTGGTATCTATTTTGGGTGACAATGACCTCATGAGGGCCACAGTGAGATGACCTTGAATGGTGGAAAGTCAGAAGGCGAAAGTGCACCCCATCCCAAGTCCTCCTAGAAGTTCTGATATTGATTATCTTCACACAATGGGCTCCTCATGATGCCATCATCTGTGACTCTGGAACTTAACTGAATTTCAATACAACAGATGATTTTTCTCCCCTAATTTGTTCTACACAATTAACAAATGTCTCTTCCCACCTCCCGCAACACTCCTAAGGAGGTCGATTGCAGGGTCCAATGGTCCTGAGCCACCAGACCCGCTCCTCAGTTCTGCTACGCAACAGTGTTTCTCAGCCTTTAACCCAAGGGAAGACAAAAACTTTGTGCTGTCCAGAGAATACCCGTGTTTCATTTCTATCTTCCTTCTTTCCCTACTTTTGGAATTTGTGCACAGAATTTAGAAAACAATCCACAGAATAATGTGGGAGGAAAACACTGTGAAGTATTGAATCCTTTAAAGTCCTGACTCATATCAATAGGAAGAGAAAGGGAAAACCAAGAGCTTAATGCATGCAGTCTGGAGTCCAAACAGCTTGGCCCCCGCTATTATCCCAGTTTCCTCGGTTGTCTCCTGCTACCACGTGGCAAAGTTCATGAGGGACAGGCCACTGCTTGCCTGCAAGAGAGGTTTGGTTTCCTGTCCAAGCTTGTCAATATATACATGTTTTTAATATCAAGTTATTTTTTTGTAGGGAAGTGAGTCATAGCTCTCACCAAAGGTTGGCACCAAAATCCACAGATTTTGGCAGTCATGATCTTATCAAATTTTCTCAGGAGTTGCAAGTGCAACCAGATAAATCATTATGAAAAAGCAATGAATAACAGAGAAAAGAAAACTAAGCAAATAGAACCTTCTGTCTCAGGCTTCATGGGACTTTGGTTGGTGGGATTTAAACTTCCTTCAGGCCAGCTGCTGTCATTCGATGGATAGTCAAATTCAACTGCACCCACCAAAGACAATGCAAAACTCTCTGTGTCCATGTCATCACAGCACTGATAGCCAATTAACTCATTACATTCAGTATAAAATATCAGTGATTTGACCCTCATACACACATCTGGGGAGAGAGGACAGGAAGAAGAGGAAACTAACCATTTCCAGATCTGAGTGTCGGCTCAAAATAAAACCAGTATCATCTGCAAGTATTTTTGACATGGGTCCTAATTTTACATTTACACACACACACACACACACACGCGCACACATTTATGTATGCATGGGTGTGTGTGCACGTATATATATGCACATATTTGATTGCTTCTCTTTAAAATGTACTAGTCTCAGCAAAGCTTATTTTCCTTTTATTTGACTTTTATTGTGACCACAAAATACTATTCCACTGACAGGGACAAGGAGCTATGCAGAACTAGCATTGGGCAGCAGGGGCATGGCCCCAACAGCACAAGGGCCCCATAGAACCTCATAGGGCCCTGAGAATGCAGGGTGTCCCTGGAATACTTTTAGGGCTCACAAGTACCGCAGAAAACACGTTGTCTCCCTCGCTTGACTTATAATTGATCAGCGATCAGTACCAGACAGGAAGCTGAGCATGTTCAAGGTAAACATTCCTATTTCGAGTCAGTACAAACTGCCATGGTTCATTTCCCTTTGCCAAAATTCTCGAAGAGATCCTCACAGAGCTGCCTCACAAGCACACCCACATCACATAGCCTAAGACGGATCAATCCGTTCATACAACAAAAAGGGGCTTGATGGACTTCAGCCCCTTACTGTACTGCACAATACACTTCCAGG